CGAATTAAACGCGGGTCGAAGCGGTGTGGCTGTCTAATGCGGATTTCGTTGAGGGCGATCAACAAAAATGCACCTGCAGGGGAATGGGCCATCGTCCACACTGGTAATAGTAGCGCTACTTCTACCTGCTCGTCAACGCAAGCAGGAAAAATGAAGAAAACTAAGACAGTAGCAGATAGATTGTTAACTCGCGAGATGCTACAGCAACCTAACGAGCCTTCTCAAGCAAAGACTCCGAAACAAACCCGAAAACCAGCGAAGAGTAAAAGAACTACAAAAACAACATAAGATCATCATCACAACAGGAGTGCAAGCAAGACCACGATATTCACAAAGAACACGAACGGGAGCAGCAAGCAGAAATACCGACGACACAAAGCAGCCACAACGATCTGGTTTCGTTTGTTACTTTAAATGATTATTTTTAATTTTATCTATGTTCACAACCACAAACCGTCCATGGACGCTCGTGTCCACGCAGCTCACAGATCCAGAGCTGCTCAGGATATCATTGCTACTTCTGAGCGCTCAGTTCACAGTATAATTGAGGCCCAATCTGCTGCTGGTGTACCTGTAGCCAACATTTACGCAACAATGTTGAATCAAGACCCCAACACTCTGATAGTTCCTAAGGATATCGCGAACGCCAAGGACTCAGCTCGTCGTCGAGTTCTCACTTCCGCTACGCCTATTGAGGCTCTCTTCAACCAGCTCAACCAAGATAAGATCTTTTATCGATACACAACACACCTCGAAACGCAACGTCTTAAATATCTTCTGTGGGCTCATCCTGCTACCGCAAGTCTTTACAAGGTTAACTCCGACATTTTGGTGATGGATTGCACGTACAAGAGTAATAAGTTCGATCTTCCGCTTCTCAATGTCATCTCACTTACTGGAATGGACACTGTAATCCCTGTATGTCAAGCCTGGATTCCAGGAGAGAAGAAACAAGACTACACTTGGGCTCTGAACATGTTACGGCTACTGATATTGGAGTATGACGTCCCAGAGCCGAGAATCATTTCGCATGATAGAGACCAAGCGTTAATGAATCCTCTGGCACTCGTTTTCTCCGACGTACCGACAATTCTGTGTCGATGGCACATGAACAAGAACGTACTGAGTAAAGTAAGAGAAGTGCTGGGCAAGGTGGCTGTCGAAAACCCTGCTCCTGGTCAATCCAAGTACTCGAATTCTTTGGCCACAGACAAATTTATGGCGCTGTTTTACCGCACAATCGACTTGGAGACGGAAGAGGATTTCCGAGCAAACAAGGCCGCTCTAGCTGAATCTAACGCCCATCTTGCCGCATATCTGTCGGAGCACTGGTGGAAGTACGAAGACAAGATCGTTAAGGTCCGAACTAATCGGTTCATGCACTTTGGTGTTCGAGATACGTCAACTGTCGAGGGGACTCATGCACAATGCAAACGCTGGATCAAGTCTACCCGTGGCGACCTGTTTACTGTTTACAACAAGTTACTTCCATGGTGGATATCGTCTGCGAGCAGGATGCGCGAGTGTTTGAGCCGCAACGAAACGATAGTCCCTTACCAACTGCAATTCAATGAGTTCGCCGCGTGTGTGAAGGTTATAACCAATTGGGCCCTGTATAAGACTGACGAACGTTGGAATCAAGCTCGAAAAAGTATCGTGCAAAGCGAAGCTCTCCCTGATTGCAGTGGTATCTTCCGCGCTACTCACGGGATGCCGTGTGTACACGAACTCAAAGCAATCATAGA